GCATTTACTCAAATTTCTTCAAACCCACCAATTTAGCGACCAAGTTGGGCATAAATGCATATGAGCTAATGTACACTTGCCAGAGGCTTATCTGGTTTACTTAAGTGGATAGCCAAGATGACTTATCCTAATTGTCGAGTTGAATTGTCTTCCAATAAACCGTAATCAAATTGATACTACCTGAATTAATAAAGCCCTTAGATCGCCAATGTCATCTGCACCAGATTAGTAAGAAGATGCGCAATTGTATGCGCTTAGCAAAGGACCAATTGACATATGGATTTACGAGAGTAACCAAACGATGGAGTTTGGCTACGGTGGCCTCACTATATGCACCCCAAATAAAATAGGCGTATCATCATGTTGTTGGGCTTTAGAGAAGATGGCTCTAGGCTTGCTGGGTTGGTGAAATGCTGACTGCATGCTTAGCTGCAGGCAGCAGAAGAGGCCAGCAAAAGGCCGGAAGCTGTGCCAACTTTGGGGATAAGGGACAAGAAATGGGACATTTGGAGTATAGGCAGCCGGATTTCAGGCTAACTCTACAAAATAGTGATGATGAAGAGCACGAGATGTGCGGCTGTAAAGAGCGGGATGAGGGATTTGAGAAAAGGAGAGCATGATTTAAGAAGCCACAAGCAAAAGTCTCTATACTCCTGAAGGATTGTCCAAACAGCATAAAATCATATTAGCCCAAGCACACATACAAGGATGCATAGTCAAGATAGAAGGATCATTGAAACCTACCAAGGTGTGCACAAGAGGGAGGTTGATTTGGGAAATAGGGACCAATCCAAATGATACTAAGCAGGCATAGCTCCTAAATGGTAGTCAATCGGATGGTGTCAATCGAATGTTACTACCCAATTGGAAGTCTTGGCAAGGAAAGTTCAAACTGCCTGAAAGTAACCCTTAAGGTGGAAGTTAATTTTACATATCTGGTTTATAGCAACATTCGGACATCCACTTTCAGTACGTTTAACATGTAGTTTAATTGCTGCATGGTCATCATTACTCATATTTACGGCTTTATTGACTTTGGTTTAACATAGATGATAAAAGAACAAGTACATACCAACAATACAGATCCTTACTGTAGACAACATTAGTAGAGGTGACTAGGATGATCTGAGAACAAAGTTCGAGATTGCAGACAGATGGATTACAATTGTGTTCATTTTGGGTTTGACCTCAAGTCATTTTATATTTCATTTTGCATCAACAAGTCGATGTACTTTGTTGTGCAGTAGCCGAAGGAGAAAACCTCGGAAACAGCGTCCACTTAATTGTTCCAGTAAGGCCAATCGACAGCTGATTAAGAGGAATCTGCCGTCGTCTTCTGGGATCGACCTTGGAATCTCTTCAACAAACTCCTTAACTCCGAATGGAAGTAAGCCCAAACATTTGGGTTATGACATTATGCCCTCGAAGCGGTTCTAGCTATTCGGCAAAACAAACTTTTACCCCTCGAATCGACTCTAAAGTCAGTTTTAAGCAGGTTTGCCTTATTGATTGAAAGTGTGAAGACCAAGATGGTGTGGTCTTTTTTGTGTGGTCGCAGTCTCCTTCCATTGTATAGAAGTTGTTTGACCTTGTTTTCGAAACTTGGTCATATTGGTAGGAAGACTTAGACGAAT